AAAATAACCCTTTCCAGCCCAAATTCTGAAAAGTGCCCTTCATGATAGACCTATTCTAAGCAGCTTTTATACTTTGTTTTGAAAATCACCATACAAACATAAAAAGACAACATAAAACAAAAAGCCATGAAAAAAACCAAAACCTGTCATTAGCATGTGACACTGACCAAAAGTAGCCCATACTGTTCCACGAACAGTTCACAAGGACTTCTGCAGTTTCGTATTCGATACTGGACAGAGGTACTGAACAGGGCTGCCAGTCTGATCTGTTAAAGCTGGATTCTTCATCAAGCCCGGGACTGGAAAGGGTTAAGATTTTTATTTTTCCTTTAGTGCTGATGATTGTTATTTCCATTTTGTTTCTCTTGTTTCCTAGATGGACTCCCCACTGAGAAGATCACCCGGAAGAAGAGTATTCAAAGGTGTCGGGCTTCCGATAACTCTGCCGTCGTCGGCGCTCGGGGGTCCCCAAAGGCTGCTGGAGTACTGAGGCACCCCGCCCCACAGCAGGTCGCTGCTCCCCTTGCCCCCCAGGCAGGGAGTGTTCCAGTGCCCGGCGTCGTTGCGCACCAAGCCGTGCGAGCTGCTGGAGGAGCCCAGGCGGGTCTGGTTGGTTCCAGTGTTGGACTGCCAGCTGGAGGTGGGCGGCAGCGGCTGGCCTTGTGCTAAGAAGCGGTTGACTTCTTCCTCACCAGCAAACTCGGCCAGGATGGTAGTGTTTCCCAGGACACACCTGAGGACACAAACAAACGGTGCAACGACATGAAACGAGGGGTGCGAAGGGCCCTGCTGGAAATACCCGAGATGGACATCAATCCACGTCCCCCCCAGCTGAATTCGAGGTGAGGAGTTACGCCACGTCCGCTCACTTTTAGCCACTCCAGTCTCTTACGCAAAGACTTCCCCGTCCTATTTCCTATTTACCTTTCTGCACCCACAGGCACAAAGGCTTACGGGGGAGACCAGCTCGTTTAACTCACAGGCATCACGGGAGGTTGTGCTCTTTCGGCATAAAGATACAAGCGTACCAGCAGCATTATCAGTAACAAATGATGCCAATAATTACAAAGTCGTTATAATACATTTTCAAAAACTGTTCTCTTCACATTAATTTGTCATCGAAGAATATATTCTAGTGTTTAAATCCTGCCGATTCAATCTGCTGTGTATTTTAAAATCAACTAACCAGGAAAAGAAGGTGCTCGCTCTCTTTCTTTTTAAAATCTGCCAGATATATTTGCGGAATAAAATTCAGACACCTTGTACCTCAGGATGCCTACAGCCATCACACTCGATGGTAACTTTTTAGTTATAGCAAAGGCTGCAACGCTGCTTCTAAGTCTGTGCTCAAGCACCTGACGGCACTGCCTCCCTTCCCCACTTCTACTTTCGCATAAATACGGTAGCTTTATTATTTCTGAGCACGGGGAGTGGGACCTGTAATAATTCCAACACTTTGCTTTACCAGAAAGATACAAAATGTAGATCTAAATGCACCATGTAATGCAGCACGCATGCTCCAGACCATGAGGTGTGTAATTCCTCCTCCTTTTTAAAATACTCTCAGAAGACTCAGAGACTTGGAATGAGTAGAGAATCCTTTTTTCACGTGTAACGAACAAGTATGCTTTCATACCTTTAAAGGTCTTATCCCATGACAATGTTTAACATGAACTCTTCCATGTGCAGTTCAACTCCTCTGCAGCTAATGCCTATTCCTGCTTTTATTTAAAGATAAACTTGAAACCCACTGGCTGTGTTAGGAACACATTTCCAACATCAGCACTCTGAAAATTCATTTGAACTTCAATGCAACTCACTGCTTATCCTACAAACTCGAAGGTTTTGTCTTCCCCCCCAACCCGTTTCCTGAAACCTCACCTTTCTTTAACAGTATGTTTAAAATTAATTTCCTTTGCATGTCTGACAAGGATAACTGCATGACTAATGCAACGGATGAAGAATTCTTCCAAGAACTTAGCTTTCACCTTCTTCTAGAATTTATTCTGCAACCTAAGAACTTTTAAAGAAGGGAAGATATTTATTTATCTGTCACTGTCTGCCTAAACCTCCATTACTTCAGTCTCACCATTGCATGGCAGGTAACTCTGAACACACACCTTAACAACTGTGCTTCTGCTGGAACACAAATGTGTTTATAATGGCTATCCCCCCTCACCGCCTGACCGCAGCCTCTGGTTTGGGAGCCATCAACAAGCCGGGTTGGTACAAGTGCTCCTTGCTTAAAATCACACCTTAAGAATTTCCACCTTTCCTAAATATGTAAGTGAAGAGATCCAAATGCAGTCTTTGTAAACTATGTGTTCTTCATAAAGCTTTAAATTAATTTTAAGAAGTATTAATCACTGATGCTCCCAATTTATATAGCAAAAACCCCACACACCAGAGATGGAGACTGTGAGCAAGCTATTCTTGTATCAAATCACAGAATCATTTAGGTTGGAAAAGACCCTTAAGATCAGAGTCCAACCATTAACCCAGCACTGCCAAGTCCACCACTACACCACGTCCCTAACCACCACATCAACACGTCTTTTAAATACCTCCAGGGATGGTGACCCCACCACCTCCCTGGGCAGCCTGTGCCAACGTTTGACCACTCTTTCAGTAAAGAAATTCTTCCTAATGTCCAACCTGAACCTCCCCTGGCACAACTTGAGGCCATTTCCTCTTGTCCCATCACTTGTTACTTGGGAGAAGAGACCAATCCCCACCTCACCACAGCCTCCTCTCAGGTAGCTGTAGAGAGCAACAAGGTCTCCCCTCAGCCTCCTCTTCTCCAGGGTGAACAACCCCAGTGCCCACAGCTGCTCCTCACAGACCTGTTCTCCAGACCCTTCCCCAGCTTCGTTGCCCTTCTCTGGACACGCTCCAGCACCTCAGTGTCTCTCTTGCAGCGAGGGGCCCAAAACCGCACCCAGCATTCGAGGTGCAGCCTCACAGTGCTGAGTGCAGGGGCACCGTCACCTCCCTGCTCCTGCTGGCCACACTATTTCTGGTACAAGATGGGATCTGAGACTGTTGGCTCGGTGATACATTTTCCAGTGATCAGCTCCACGTAAACATCTATCTGAAACAGACAGTGGCTGGTATCTCTTGGAACTCTGATACTGTCCTGTTGGCTTCCACAAATCCCATTGTATTCTACCGTTGTCACTCTGCCAGCAAACCAAACATATATATAGCTCAGCCCTTGTCATTCAGAAAGATCTGTCCCATCCTTGCCAGCAACGTAACTATAGTTATGCCACGACCTACCAAAAAACCTCAGTTTAAATGGAGGCCTTCCAGATCACCGACAGGACATTGCCATGTACATATTTAAACTAGCTCTTCTCTTTAAACTCACATATTAATTTTGCCTTTGGCATTATTTCTGATGCCCACATCTAAACTGATGTAACTCAGATGAGTCCATTTTTCGTCTCCAATTGTTCTGAATGCTGCTTCATAATATATAATTATGGAATAGTCAACAGTTTTTAAAGCAACATGGTCATTAATATTATTATTACTACAATTTCTGTTAATTTGGTTTGTAAGAGGAAAGCAGTTGCAACTATACATATGGAGTAACCATTGCTCCTAAGCATAGGGAAGGTAATCAGGCCAGCAGTACAGCTAGTTACAAACAACATTTCCACTATGATCAATATTTTTCACTATACTCATGCTATAACCTGTTGATAAAGATAATTCCTTTCCAACTCTAAGCACTTAAGTATTCTGTTGAAACATCAGTCTCTATATTCTTAATCCTCCCTAATGTCACTGATTTTATCACTCAAACTCTCCAGCTCTTGTGCAGCATGCCAATTAGTCCCATGGATTTTAAAACACCTAAAAAGTCTCTTGTCACACACTTCTTTCAGTTTCTTTTGTAACTTCTTCTTTTATAAAAGGTGACTGCCATGAACACATTCTTTATTCATCCTCATTTTGTCCTTTCTGTTGCTCTCTAAAGCTGAACCCTTGTCTCATGCTCTCTCTGAGCTTCCTTTGGAATTCTTATCACATCTCACAAATTCTTTGCAGCCTTGTAGGTGACCAATCCTTACTGAGCACATTATTAATGGTGAATATCTATTATCAAGTTTTGTAATGACCACTTGTTCAGTCGTATACGAGTATCTTGCCCCCAGGTTTTTTTTCTCTCTCTAATTAGGTAATTTCAAAAATCAGATTAAACTAACCTGTGATCAGTTCAGAGTCCCTAGCAAACAAATGCCTAAGAAAATAGTTTGAGATAAACCTGGCTTCACAACAAAGGAAACGAGAGCAGAAACGTACATATGCAGAGACTTTTGGGCCTTGGCTGCTTCTTCCTTGGAACTGTATCGGACCACAGCATTCCCTTGCGTCAGGTTCAAGTGGAATGTTATTAGAGGGCCGTGTTGCAAACACAGTGTCCGCAGTGTGGAACCATCAATCTGGTAAGAGGGAAGGGGGGAAAGGTTATCTGTATTTTTGTGATTTTACCTCAAATGCTCATTCATGAAACACGTTTTAAAAGCTGAAGAGTAAGTACAGGTGAAAGAAATAAAAAGCTTTTCTTCCGTAAGAGCAATTTAATTACAGACTTTTCACTGTCTTCATCGAGTGAGACGTCCTGTCTTTTGAAGACTTCCCTTCAGTCCAGTGCACAAAATTTCCCAGTTTAGGTGATACGAATTATATTTATCATCAGAAGTCCACAGAAGTGCGGAAGTCAGTCAAAGAAAAACCACATTCTTCATAAATATAACTAAACCTTCCCCAAGATTTAACTTAGAGGTCTACACGCAAGGCTTTGTGGGTTATGTTCTTCCTTGCTCATGACACTACATGGAGGACTAGAGGATTTGACAGGCTTAGGAGAACCACCAAAAGAAATCCCATAGGACAAGCAGATTTTTACATCTCTATCTGCTTTAAAACATCCTTCACCTCCAAATGTACGCATAGGTAAGTGGTGCACACCGAATGACTAATTACAGCCTGAAAAGTTTGTATGTGATTTGACAGCACTTTGAAAACTTAACAAATTCCCTGGAGAAGACAGACACTTGTCATAAATGCAGAGTAATTACTTTCCCTCCAAATGAACCGAACGACCAAAGTTGATAAATGTTGTTCTTATCGCTTAAACGTGCCAAGTCTCTTTTCGGAACTAGTTATGTACAGTTCTCGTTACCTGGGGTGTGAGGTTTCGAAGAACCAGCCAGCTGCTTGTTCTCCCTGAGCTGTCAGTACTCCATGCAGAACCTGCAATACAAATGCCACAACAGAACATTTTATCACGGTGTGGAGTCCATTACAAGAACAACAGTTATCTGGAATCACAACATACTACCAAGCGTTACTGCTACCGAAAACAAACCCTACAGCAGTTTCCTCACATCTTGATTTACTGTCGTCTTTGCAATGAAAGGCTGCTGAATGAAAACCTGCTTTTGATACATTTTAAAGATCCGTGGCACTTTTCACATTCCCACAATAACTATTAGAAAACTAGCGGATGCAGGTGTGACACTGCGACAAACTGTATCTTCAGGTTACGGCAGAATTAATGTGGAAGACGCATTTTAAAAGCAATTCAGATGTCCAAGCTCAGATTGCTGCTTGCTATTAAAGATTTTTATAGCACTGCAGCATTCTGCTATCTTGCCAGTGATAGATTAATGTATATGACTTACTCGAAACATATTTCTGCACTGACAATGTTCTGATTAAAGATACAAGGACGTAACCAACAAAACCTGCTTTTCCGACTTCAGCCTGGTGTTTTACAATGAGAAACTGCACAAGCTTGATATTTATGAGTGGCATTTGAGAAACTGCAGTTCTTCTGTAGTCATATGCGTGACCACACTCAGGCTCCAGACAGAGTCCTGGCATCAGCAATATCTGCCCACCAGGTGGGGTTTTGGTGAAGAAAACAGATGCAAAATAAATGGCAAGAAGAGGGAAGAATGTTTAATTCTCAACGTAGTGAGAGCAGAGTAATAAAATAATCAGCTTTATAAAATAGGTGTAATACTTTTGAAGCTGACATTACTTCACAAACAAACAAGATATGTGTATATAAATTTATATAGCCAGATCCATGATTGCTCATATTTGTATTTAAGCAAAACACCATCCAAAAAAAGAGCCTGCATGAAAAAATTAAGACATTCCCTGAGGGCCCTGCAATGCCATCAGGTCCTAAACGTTTCACACGCGTGCTCTGAACGTGTGCTCCATATTAAATTCCATGGGCTGATTTGCTCGTCTTGAAGCCTCGTAGGCAGTCACGGATCATACCACAAAACAAGAAACATGTTTAAAAGGTATTTTTAGAAATTAAGGAAATGGAATAAAATCCTAGTTGGAGTGAAATTATTTGGCAATTCCTATGTAAAATTACTAAGATGATCACCTGAAAGGCAACAGCTTCACGTACAACTTATCCTAGCTAAGATAAACAGACACGAGCTTCAGCCCCAAACCAGAAACACTCTACTTGCATCACACCTCCAGTTTCTGGAGGCTGATACACAGCTATTGGGTGCCTTGTTATCCTAACACAGACTAAAAGGAAACAATTACAAAGAGAAGGCGCTGTGGTGCTGTAAAACACAGAAGTCAAGAGTACCAGAGGAGTAAGAGCTGGTCCAGCCCAGGGGACTGGCACCCCACGTAGATGATGGCTTGGTGTTTGTTAAGCCTGGAGGTGGTCTCGTAGGAGCAGTAGTGTTTCTGGGTACCTTCCATAGTTCATGGGATAGAGAGGCTTGTGTGTGAGAGATTGGGCCAGAGGACCACGTCGACTTGATGTCTGACAATTTACCTGCAATAGAAAAAACAAATACATTTGTGGATTTTTAGTCAGCAGCAACTGTTAAACCAAGTAGGATGGGTAATCATCAAGCTTCTGCATTGACTAGATTCTCAGTGCTTTTCAGGAGAGAAAAGAACAGCATTCTGCACCACCCAGTGATACAAATCCTATATCCTTTGAACCTACTCACACTAGTATTTACATTTTTGAAGAATTTTCTATGTAATGAATCTCACAACACCTGCTACATATACAGTTCCCTTTTTAAAATCTTCTACTATTTTGCTTTCTTATAGAAGATGATACATAAAAAAACCCCAGAAAATGGACAAATACAAGTATTTGAAATCTAATTTAATCAAAATTATCAGGAAACACTTCCAAGATTCTCTGTCAAAGGTTTAATAGAACTTAACCACTTCTTACACAACCCATTTTATCTAATGTAAAGTAACCAGTATACCCATATGTTCTTCTGATATATTATTAAAATTCCAAAGATCAAAGACCAACAAAAACTGTATTTCTGAATATTCAAAGTAACAGACAGTCTTTTTTCCAAGTGTCTTTGAGAAAAATGAAGTCTTCAGAAGATTACACCATATCACAACCTGTCACACTTTGTAACTTCTTACTGTTCACTTTGTTATTTCCCTAATCAGTTTTTAATCTATCTTACTATTGTTCCTGCCAAATCAGAGTTTTATAAAGATAATAGAAAAAGCAAGAATAACAAATACAGTTTAGCATCCAGAGGCAGACAAAATTGATTCAAATGACGGGTACCAAAACAAAACCCTTTATTCACCCTTAGACTTACGCACCCCTGCCTTTCCTCCTTGTACCAACATATGTGGTGAAATTAAGAGTCCACCTTCCTTGTCACAGCACAGTCCCACAGTTACCAACATTTGCAGCATGTGTTTGACTGGAATGTACTGAAATGGTCACATTACTGCATTTTCTGTCAGAGCAAATGATATTGTGATTATGCCGCCTCAATGCTTTGAGGTTGATTGCAGATAGTAAGAAAATACTTGATCTGACAAAGTCCAAGATCCAAAAATCTTGTGAATTTTTTTAAAACCAGATTTGAACTGTCAGATTAAGCTTATACTGGAACAGTGCTTTGCATCAGGCAGCCATTGAGGGTTTTTTATTAGTCCTAACGCCAAATCGACTAGTTGCCAAATCACAGCCTCAGTTACATATACACACACTCCCCAAAATGCCTCTATTTATCTGTATCATTTAACTCAATGATTTTATACTTAATCATAACAATTTAAGCGAAAGGGCAACCACTCTCCCATCCTCTTGCAAACTGTAGCAACAAAAATAACTTGACAATGATGATGAAGACATTAACAAGGGTAAAATGGTGGGGGAAAGGGAGAAAGTCTGAGTTTTAGAACTCAGAGCAGCTCAGCCTGCGATGTAGCACATGATACATGCACATTACCACAGATTAGAGGTTGCTATGTCACTACTTCTCATGGGGTTAACAGAAAGATTAGATGACACTGCAAAAATAATAAAAAGCAAATAAAGCAGAAATGCATGGCAGATAGAAGAAAAGCAAGCTACTCCTGTCTTTTCCTTTCATTGGAGTAAAACATTTCAAACAAACCCCTTTTATTTTGCATTCTACAGTATGACCTGGAGGTTGCAGCTTCATTTATTCCAAGTAGAGGAAGTTTTCATTGATTAGATATGAAAATGCTAATACAATCCATGGTTTTCATTGATTAGACATGAAAATGCTAATACAATCCATACAGCAGCCCCAGCACATTTTTATAATGGGATGAATTGGATATTCAGGTAGCCAGTTCGCAAGCAAAGTTTCCATGATTTCCAGAGAGACGCTCCAGAACTTATAGCTCGTTAAAAAGAATGAGGAGAAAATTATTTAGACCATCAGGCATATAGGGGAGCATCAGGCTTTACATTGACTATTAAAAGACATTTAAGAGCCCCAAACCCAACCCCTCCACAGCCATGCAGAGTACCTCTCCTTGAGGTTCTCCTAAACTTTTTTCTGAGCTGAAGATAATTCACTTTTAATGAGTTTATTAACAAAAATTTCTTATCAGCTCTTACTGGAAGGGTCTGGCTGGGGTGTTTCCACTGAGCTCCCCGACAACAGAATATTCCTCCTCAAAGTTGCACTGGAAATAGTCATTAAGAGATCTTGATGCCAATACAGTGACAGCACGTGGCACCAAGTGGAATAAATACATTTTTCCTTAGCACAATTCCAGGCATGCCATCCAACACTCACCACTGAAGAGCTGCCAGGAGAGCTGCCTACCTAACACAGGACTAAAAGATACGCTTCTGTCTATAGCAGCACTACTGTAGTAACTGGGAAACCACTTTCCAGGGCCTTTTCTCAGAATGCAGAAGGACGTGAAAGTAGGAAGGCCATTTTTCGTACCTGCAATGCTAGGTGCGGATGCAATGCTGCTGAAAGAGCTACTGTAGCCGGAGGCACTAAGCGGCCAGGCACTCGATGAAGGCAGCGTGGCATTCTGAGATGATGTTGGGGATGACCCTGCAGAACCAGCAGAGAAGCGACTAAGAAAGATGGGCATAATGATGTTTGGTATGACACAAGCAAATCTATTATGTGCAAATACAAACCATGCAAGGCATTTTCCTTAATCAGCCTGGTCTCTGAAGTCTAGGAATGAAATGTTATAGAAAGCATGATAAAGTGAAGCAGAAGTCTTTAGTAGAAAAGAAAAGACAGCTGACACAGTAGCCAACGTACTAGCACCTGTGCAAAAGACAAATCTTGCACTTCCTTCAAGATACATGACTCAAAAAATCAGTGTTAAACTGTTTAGTCTTAAGGAACAGGCTTCATTTATAAAGGTGCTCTGCCGTCTGACTGAAGCAATGGCAACTGTAGATGAGCATAGATGTGTATGATAAACTAACCTCTTACCATGGGTGATTTGTCCTAAATTACTCAAGTTAAGCACTTCTCCTACATCCTGATGCCCACAAACATCTTTAGATTTTTGCAGACTTTCAGTAAAGCAAGGATATATTTTAGCAATCTTTTCTCAAACTGATCAACATTAAATGAAACAGCCTGAAACCATCTTGGCAAATCATTTACGATCTGAGGAGCTATCTAAGCATACGTACAATTTAATTTCCTTACTGGCAGCAAATGAAAGAAACTGAACATAAAATAAAATATCTTCATTACAAAGACCAGAAAAGCTGGACGTATTCTCTCTAGCCACCAACAAAACTTAAGCGTGTATCCTAGGTGACTTATCATTCCTGACATACAGATGGATTGTGATACTGAAACACCTTTAACTGACCAATAAAAATAGGTGAGTTCTTTGGGAAAGAGCACTGTACTGAGGTAGAAAGGAGTAAAAGGACGATCTCATCCCTTACAGCTCAATAAAAAACACAGGCTATATTTTCAACTGGACCAGCAGCCAACCAAAGTTTACCTTATCCAGAATCACTGTGCTCCAAAGGACACCAATACAGACATCGGTCTCTAGCAAATTAACTCTCTATCAAGGCTTTCTCCGGAAATAATCTATTCCCCAGGCAGGAGTGAGGGAATTGTATCAGATTCGAAGGCCCATATGCCCACAGAGCTGAAGCTGTTCCTGATTCCATGTGACTAAGATTTTCAGCTCATAGTAGCTAATCCTACAAAGCTTCAGTAGCCAACAGGGTAAACCAAAAATCAACCCAAAAGCTTAAGTTTTGTCTAAGTGTACAGTGCAAGGAGGGTACACACCACAGTCTAGCCCTCTAAATGGAGATCAGCTCTGTGTGTACTTCAAGCTGCAGCATTTGAAGACGGCGTCTTCCTGGCAGCATGTCGTGAGAGCCCCAATGGAGGGGTACTGACAATAACAGGTAATTTTACCTAGAGGCAAACACCTAGGTTATACAAGCATAAAGAAATAGATTCAGCAACTACATTTTTTTATTAAAAGTGTGTTATTAACAAGCTAAAAAGTTAATGAGGAAAGGAATGTACATGGACCCCAACCATCACTGCTTTTCAGAAGGTCTTGTCCCTCGAGGGCATGTTTACTTCTGCACAGATCATCCATACTGACCCAATCTAAGCAGTGTAATTATTTCTTTGTTCCACAGACAGATTATACACCACAGAGCTCATGTATCCTTAACTTCTATAAAGAAGGGAGACCTGTAGCAGGTATCACCAAAGCTGCAGGTACAGCTCTGCAGGGCTAGGCTTTTGGCCTAGAGGCACTATTTCTTGCGTGCGCCATATCTGAACTGCGACTGACTTATGTCTTTATACTCTTCTTTTTAATAACTTCAAACCATCCAGGTTGCCTGCCCCTTGAAGTACATTTGGGTCATGAAAAGTTAATTCAACATTACTCAGGCACACAAACAGCTTGTGTTTCAGCTTAAATAAAGATTTCTTTCTGAAAAGAAAAGACAACTGAAATCATTCAAGGTGATGAAAACCCCTGCCTCCTTTCCCTCATGGTTCACATCTTTTCGTCCAAGTTCACAAGCCCAGAGCTGGAAACCCTTTTCAAGGATAGTTCTGATTTGCAACCTACGCAGATACCACAGATTGAACTACTAGAACACAATCCACATTTTTAATCCTTGACAACCTGATTATACTATTCCTGTGCATATTAAGAGTGCTCTAATAGAGTGCAGAGAACTTGCCTATTTTGGCACGCCGGTCACAATTAAATGAAGTCACCTTTCCCTTGATCCACTTCCAGTACATCTAGTTAACAAGCAGCACAGTCCCAATGGTTTATCGTTTTATTGTTTTAGAGAATACCCTTTTCATTCTGCAGTAAGCACTGCCAAGAAAAAAGGAATGGAAATGGCACTGGGAAATACTAGTTTACTAGTCAATTCCCTATTTTTTTATTTTATTTGATGGTTTTGGGGATAAGCTAGCTCTACTTTATTTTGCTGATTGATATTCTAACAAAGCTACAATTAATTAGTGGGACAGAAGCCCAGCAGCAACTGTGGAAGTTTTGTATCGTGTCTTCTGAGTATTTCACAAAGTGTATGTAAGAGGTTGGTCAGTATGGAGAGCAAATCCTTGTTCAAAACAAAGTATTACAGGTTACAAAAACTTCCAGCAATCCCAAAAGTTTATATTGCATCTCACAGCCTTTTCCAACATAAAAATATTTACATTCCCATGGAAAACCAGAAACTTCTTAGTCCCATAAAGTATTTCTGGATTTTCAGTGTAAGTTCAGAGCAGAAGCATTATTAGATTAGGATTACCTGCAAAAACATACTACATCCACAATATCTGAAGTCAATTTCCTCGGAAAGAAAAAAAAAATAAACACAGATGTGAAAGTAATTCGTGTGTTTACCTCCACTCTTGAGAAGATAGCGATTAACATCCTGTATCGTGGTGTTTATGGTAGGCCCAGTTGGAACACTTCCAGGAGTGACATCGGGGTCATTTTCAGGATCAATATTCTGCAGTCCTTTCCATGGCACTCCCGGATGAAACTCTGTTTCAAAGATAATAAAAAGAAGAGCACGTAAAGTCACAGTTCTCAAGTTCCTGCGTATCAGAAGGCATGAGGATTTAATAAATAAAACAACAACAGGTTTTAAGGACAACAGTTTAACACAAATGCTTTGTGTTTCGTTACCTGGTGGCCAGTTTATGCTGGAGCCATTGGAAATTTTATCACTATCGGTTTTGGCACGTGACCAGCTGTGAGGAACAGCTACGGGTGGACTGGCGGGCGAGTCACTGTTTTGAATCAGATCATACCGGCCATAAGAGTCATCAATGGAGGACTTGCCCGGAGGACCAATACTTAAACCTCCAGGTATAGCACCTGTAATGAACGAAATTGAAAGGCTTTCTTTAGGAGTGGGACTAATTTGGGGTATGGAATTTCATCAGTCCCTATATTTTGTTATTATTTACTTTTTTTCTTTCTGTACTACAAGGATAAAAAAGAAAATGAAAATACAAACACAGTAAGCAAGGCTTAACAGCCTCTGAAGGCTTACTAGGAATTGCAGCTGTGAGATACACCGCTGGTACAGTCTCGACACTCAAGTTAAGGACATTCATGTTACATTACTGCCAAAAAGAGATTAAGTAATTCAAATAATTACACTGATGGTAAAAGGAACTTCCTGAGACAGCATAATAAGGAGTACCACTGTAGGCAAGCCCTCTTCTCATCCTTCTCTAGGTATTCCTTGCTGACGGGATGGAAGATTTGTTATGGCCATCCTCACGTTCCCACAAACTTATCAAACAACAATTCGGCATAAGCAGTACAGCTACTTGGAGAATAAACAACTATTGTAGAAGAAACAGTTCATGCTGCTCATAATAAAATCCAGGATACAATACAGTTAACAGAGCACCATGTTCTACCAGACGAAACTTGGTACAGGAAATAAAGGAATTAAACGACTCAGGATACTGGAGGCGTTAGGGATAAAGGTGTTCAAACAGATTAGCAATCACTTCTGGAAAAATATGAAGTTTGTGCTCCTAACTCCCAGGGTGGATAATCAGGTAATCCATCAGGACTTTGTACGGGACGGGCTGTGAGCGGTTGATGATACTGGAAAAATTGACGGAGAAAGCCAACGTAAAGTTCCTTTGGATTGAAGGTATGCAGATCTGGAGTAAGGGGAAACTTGTGGGGCTTGTTTTGCCAACACTAATGGCTTATTTTACTTGAACTCCATGTTCTGAGCAACAAAATTCAGTAAATGAAAAAACCCCGCATTCCTACATTGCATGTAGGATGTGATAGCTGCAAGCACTTCAATGCATTGCTGAATGTGACTGCAGACATCATCTTAAAAATACCACAGTCTCAAAGGGCGCTCGGCACCAACCATTTATGAGCACTTACCGAAAACAGTAACACGAGAAAAAAAAATTACAATTACAATATGACTCAAGTCTCAAAAAGCCAGACTGACAGAGACTAAATGCGACATACCGTGCTTGCTGGAGTTCTGGTCAAGCGAAGAAGCAGCACTAGACAGATTATCCATTGAGTTGGGGTGTGTCCACTGAGGAAGGCGAGACTGGGACTGAGAAGTGTCCTTCACTGACAAACCACCAGTAATGTCCATGTTATTTACATTCATGTTCGGGTTCAGTCCAGCTAAGGGGAAATAGGCCATTAGATACCCCTAACACCCTGCAGGATCAAAAGGTGTGTTTAAAAATACAGCTAAAGAAATTATTAAACAGGCTGCCCAGAGCAACTGGGGCTGCCCCCTCCCTGGCAGTGCTCAAGGCCAGGCTGGATGGGGCTGGGAGCAACCTGGTCTGGTGGGAGGTGTCCCTGCCCACGGCAGGGGGTGGGAACTGGGTGATCTTCAAGGTCCCGTCCAACCCAAACCACCCTACGATTCTATGACTTTCAGACATCTGTACGTAGGTGTAGTAATTTACTACACACATTTCCAGCCTGCTGTCAAGAACTTTTGCTTTTATGAGAACACCAATACAACTCCCATGAATTCAGAAAATGTTAAAACTTTGCTAAAAGGAAAAAAGAAAAAAGATGTTAATATTTTAAAGTTGTCAGTATTTCTACTGGCAGTATCTTCACTTGTCTCAGAAAAGGCATCCTGGAAGAATGCAATGGTATGCTACGTTTAAACCAGTGAAGAATTTGCAGCATTCCACTGAAAAGCCGCATCTCACCAGCACACCCCCATGATGTCTGCCATTTTATTTTGCTAACAACATTGTAAAAATCCCAAACAAAGCGACTAATTTAAAGGTCATACAAACAGCTGCTATTCATCAGAGCAGGTACTGTGTTATTTGGGCATACCTTTTGCATACACAGAACAAAACCACTCAGACTACATTTAAGGAATAATTTTTACATGCTTCTGTGACACGAATCTGGGTCCTCTTTCATAAATAATCCTGAATGTTAGCAGATCACAGGAAGCTGAGATATGGTAAGAACCTCTTAGGCCTTTAATTCATAAATTCTTTTGCCTTCTGATGCTCTCTGCTATAACAGCTCACCATTGCAGTCAGAATTACCTTCTTAACTGCTGCACGGTAGATAAAGCTTGGCAATGCTATTGTACACAGCATAAAGAGAGTCACAAAGAGATTAAATTAATTCCTTTATGTCATAAATGTAGTCTGTGGCATACATCAAATCACAGAAAACAGGTCTGAAAGGTTGTTTTGTTCACCCTGTCTTAAGACTGAATTGATTATTTTGACATCAATCATATTTGACAGATCTGTATCTAACCTACCACAGAATGACCGGTGAACTTCCCAGATTATTTATTCCAGTACTCTACCTGCCTAAAGCAAATAAGCGGTCCCTAATGTTTAACTAGATCTCCTTTTATGCAACAGAAGCTCACTACCTCTTGCATTAGCCACATGCAAGAAAACTTCTTTGAAGCTGTCTTTTACATTTTTGAAGACTCCTGCATGTCACTTAAGTCTTCTCTTTAGACTAAAGTGAGCAGAGGATTTCATTTTTTCCTTAGCAATCATGTTTTTGAAACATCTAATCACCTGCACAACACACTCGCTGCATTCCTTTAAACTGACCCGTACCTTTCTTGAAACAGACTGACCAAAATTGATGCCTTACCAGCGTTGCTTAGGGTGGAAAGACGACTTTGCGTGACTTCCAGGTGATATTCCTGCTTATCAATACGACGTTTGTGTATTTTACAACATGCTGCTGTCAATTTGTATTTGGTTCATAAATAGCACCATGTGCAGACAGTTAACAGGCAGAGCACAGGTGAACAGATACAGCCCACCTGAACACCTACCAGACAGGCACGTAGTGCCATGATTTTGTTCTGGCATTTCCACATTATTTAATAAAGATATCTTTTGTGTTTCTGTATTTGTTATACTGTGGAGCAAACTATTTAGATGCTGAAATAACAGAATATACTCCCCCTGTCTTTTTCATACAGACCTTCTTTAGTGAAGGACACTTACCAAGAGGGTAAGGAGCAAAGGTGTTCGGTGAAGACTGTTGCTCTTTGGTCTGCAGGTCAGGTAGGCCGGGAGCCTGGGGATGGGGTGAAAAGCTATCCATGGCTGATTTGCCTGCAGAGGGGTGCAAAGATAGATGTGGAGGGGGAGGCTGCTGCTTCATAAGCAGGGCCTGGGCCAGCTGGCGCTGGTGCTGCTGGATCTGCTGCTGCATGTTATTGATTGTACGTGCAACCTGGCAAGAAAAAGAATCGATAAATACTCAATTGAACAAAAAGATACTAGATTTCTTGTGCCTTTCTCTACAGTGAAATAACACAATCGATCTCCTTACAAATAAAAAGTGACTGCATTAAGGGTCGAAGAGCTTTCCTCCAACAGCTGAACGCTGTGAAATAGCTTTATGACTCCTAAACTCTTTCCTTTTCAATACTGAAGCCACGCACAGTATTATTGTTTCCGAGGACGCTTTAGCTGCTTTGCTATAACGTAGTACAATCTCTTTAAGCTATTGAAACCGAACTCTAACGGAGAGATGGAACTGGCAGGCAAACCTACTTGCTGCTCCTGTTGTCTCATGGGTCCGGAAACATTACGCTGAGCCTGTAACATCTGCTGCTGGATTTGTAAACGTTGGTACGCCTACAAGACAGAAACAAGAGGTCAGAGGTTCCAACATATACAATAAGCCCAACAAGCTTGCCTGAACTGCTCTGGTACATTATAAACCAGAAAAGACAGAAGCATGGGAGTTTTCTGAAAACAGGCAATGAGGCAAAAGCAAGAATCTTGTTACACATGTATTTCATCATAAATTTTATAATAAAATACAAATTTGTTTTAAGTCCAGTGTTTGCTGGGTTTCTTTTTAAACCAAACACATCAATAAAAAACCTGATGAGTAAGTTTGTGAGCAGTAAGTGGTCATTAAGACAGGAACCTATTTTTTTCCTGAAAACATTGAAACACAAAGCAGAGATTTAAGTAGAAGTTTATAGTATTATACAAACAGGACAAATACCAATAGTTATTTCTTGTTTGGCCAGTCTGAGTTCTGACACACTTTGTATTTAATCAGTTGGGCTGCTTTATTCCAGAAATATTCCACAATTTTCATGTTGTTAATCCGTCGGTAATTTTTTTTGCCCCCAAGCTGTTTCCCTGAAACACGTGAATTAAAAACCCGAAGGAGTTCTGTACAGATATTTTTCAAGTAGCTGGGTACTGTACAATTATTACTATGGCATGAGATCAATGTCGTGCTCCTCAAAACTAGGAAACGTAACCAGAAATTAATAATAGTATCAAACACTGTTACTAACAAAGAGTTTGATGAGCACATTGAGATCAGCAACTAAGCTGGTTTGTAACCCTCAGTCTTATGTTTAACCCTAGCAAATACCGACATACTACTAGTAGTATTTCTTTTCAAAATATTCTTAAAATACAATTAAATATTTTCATACAGACACAACATCCATACGTGTGAAGCTTGCAAATACAGCAAAGGTACACAGCTTTACAAAAACAAGTAGTTCTTGTCGCAACGTGTTTAATAGACATTCCATTAATTACAGGGAATTTGCCCTACACTTTATCATTAGTGAGGCAACTGAAGGAAGTTCTCCAGGTAACTCGGGTGACCAGCACTAATGAGATTTCTCTCATTACGTCGTGACATAAACCTCCCAGAGGTGGTCAATCAGTCGCGTACCTTGGCACGTAATACACAGATTATTGCCGTTTGAGAAAATACTATGTGTTTCTCATACCAGTGCAAACAGAACTGACTTTTTAGTTCCACTGATCAGCTGTAAAGGCGAATTATTCCACAAATGACTATTTATAAATCCTGAGGCAAAAACCATGATTTTGTTTCTTTAAAAAGAAACACTACCAAAGAAATCAGCATCTGATTGTTCTAAAGATCTGTCACGTCCATTTAAAAATTTATTTAGCCATTCTCATATTTTATCTTCATGCTTTCAATTCTGATTTAGAGCTTATTTGCCACATCTTTTAACTTACCAGCTGCAGCTGATAGAGCTGGTTCAACATCGTCATATGCTGAGGATTATTAATTGGCGAGGTTAACTGTGCAGGGCTGAGACCAATGTTTTTTGCTGCAAACTGCAAAAGCTGTGCTTGAACCTAAGAAAGAGCAGTGTATTAAACATTGTACATTTATTTTTAACACTGGCAACTGTTTAAGCTGTTAATAAGAGTCACAAGACTTCAGCTGGAAAATACTACTATTACCAGAAGTAGTACCATGAACTATCAAAAAATTAACAAGAGGCTGTAATACAGATCTCAATAACCATGCTCAACCGCCCATTTATAGAAAAAGAGCTGAGAACAAACTCCTCAGCTCTCCAGAAACACTGCTTTCTTGCAAAAAAAGAACGTGGCCACACAGATAATGTACAGAATATACACGCGAGACCATCTGACCCACGTAACATGCTTACTGGCTAGTAAATAAATTAACACAGACACAGCCAGGCAACAGTAGCTGCAAAGCCCGAGGAGCACGATAGAATGCAAATGGGAGAGGAAACTGTCTCTGGAGGAGTTCCAGGGAAAACTCGTGAGGGGCAGTGTGGTCTAACCTGAGGGGATAGAAACTGAGGCACTTGAGCACGAAGACTAGGCTGGGATGAATTAAGAGGTTGCACTGGCGGTTGCTGCGGCTGTTGCATGGTCCTGGCTTGTGCTGCTCCGCTATTGCCAAACATACCCAGATTGCCACTCGGTATCTACAAAACAAGAAACATGTTGGCATTTAAAGACATCACTCAATGTATAACCTCTAAGTTACCTATTTGTGCAGTCGCAATCCTCAGTGATTATGACACGCATGGATAATGAAACCACTACACACAGGCTGTACTGACAATCAGGTTTAGAATCAGGCATGGCGAAGATCGCCATGTATCCAACGTCCCAAACCTCCAAAACATTGTACAGATGCCTGAACAAAAGGTAGCTGAAGTTGAAGATCGTTTTTATAAGGATGCATAACCCTAGAGGGTCATAAGATGAACAATGAAAAGTACTTGCTAAAAATGTTTGTTTTGTGTAGCAAGGGACAGGAGAATGGAGTCATTAAACTCACAGCACCCCAACCCTTAAATTGGCCAGGCAGTTCTTATACTTAGGCATTTTACAAAGCTACTGATAATGCACATGCTATTAGCGCAGTCTCTGCTTCTGAAAGATATGCTTAATGGGCTGTAAGTGCTGGGCAAGTATTGCCTCTAGAAAACTAACTTTAAAAGAATATACCTAATAAAAGACACCACAGAATGATACATAGAGTGTTTACTGTGTTTTCTTATCTTTGCTGGAACTTCAATTTATATGGGAAAAACAACGTTTTCAAAATCAACAGTAGTTTACGGCCTCTCTTGTGGTGTCTTGTGGTGTTTATCAATCTTCACCTCCATCTCCTTTCCTTTTCTTTCCTTTTCAGCATATTCAACCCAGGGGCCAAAACATCCCTCCTGCCACAATGCTCTGTTTGACCAGAGGGGCTAGAAGTGCAGTTTCTTTCTTACCGCCTGTCAAAGCTATGAGCTGTCTTGACACTTGCAGCAGGGATAAAAAAGCCCCCATCACTTCTCACCCATCTCATCACTGAATAATTACGCCAGCCAGGAAAGATGAATTAGAGCAATGTCTCTGCCTTACAGTCTGTGACAATTAACAACGCCTCAAAAAAAGAAACCTTTCATCAATCAAGGCAGAGCTATACCAGGGTTCAGTGGTGTAAATCCTTGACACTACAGCCTCTTCTCAATGTATGCATGTAATTAACTGGCTAATTACAACTAAGCTGTTGTTGTATGTCCTATAATGTGAAACGTTTACGCAGCAGGTAGTTTCTCCACTGACGTTTCACACGAACAAAGATGTTGCACACACTTTCAGTTTAAACCACCGTTTTCCCTGGAGAAGTGATGGGCACTAGCAGCGAGTCCAAAAGAGCTGAAATTCAACTTAGGATCTCCCCTAACAGCCTTACCTGTCTAGAAGAATTCAAGTTTTGCATGCCCAGCCCTGAGGCAATCCCGCCCAGGGTCTGATTAGGGAGTGCACTGTTTGAAAGGGGGAGCTTCAGGCTTGGTGAAGGCAAAAATGGTGAAGTAGTGGGCTCTTCCACTAGGCCGCCATCCTGATTGGAGAAAGAAAGGGTGAGCTGTGCGCGGTGCCCAGGAGCAGACAGCACACAAAATAGCGTCCCATGGAAATATAAAAGGGCATGGATGAATAAAAATATTTAAAAAAAAAAGTATGAATAACAGGGAATGGAAAGTATGGAGTGAAGGGAGAAGAAAGAGAGAAACAGGATTAAGATACTGTTTTTCTTCACTTTCTTACACTTAATCCACAAATGCACAATCACTCTCACCCACCTCTCCAGAAGGAAAGGAGGGATTCTAGCAACTGATCACAGAGCTATCATGCAGCCATCTCCTCCTCCCCCCTGAGATTTTGTCCTCTCTTCTCCACCAGATTGAAAGGCGGAAAGGGAGGAGACCCAGCACATTTCAGGGAAGCCTTCTGCTAGTTTGCTAAAAACTCTCAGCAGTGGACCACAGGCATACAACACTCCACTTTTGCTAACCCTGAACTTGGGAAAGGCCAGATCAGCTTTTTTGATATCAGTCTCCCCTTGGTTCCACACCATAGCTCTGCTCGTAAAAAAAGCATTTTTGTATTAATCCCTTTCGTGAGACACATGAGCCTCTTTTAATATTCACACAGCACTGAGTTATTATTATCCACTATGAAACATTACACTCTAACATACCCAACAAACACAAAAATACTTAAAACAATAATGATAATGTTGTCTGCTTAGCCTTCCCAGGAAAGCCATTAAGACACTGCCTGAATATCCCCCAGGAGGAGGCAGATTTTAGCAAGACATAAGGAGCCCCCTCTGATAACTGGGCTGTAAGGAACCACGGCTGAACACTGATACGATGCACAGAAGGCAGCCCCCATGGGGGGCAAACAGCAAGTCAGAAAATAAAATAAATCATATAACCCCCAATCAAACAGGTAGATATCTAGCTAGTATTACAGTGGGGTACCGAGTTCTATCTCAAACTGTGCTTTGATGTCTGGGCAGCCTGCGGCAAGCATGATCAAATAACGCTGTGTACAAAGTACAGCTCCAAAAAACAGGCAGAGTGAAAAATCTTTAATTTGCAATGTGCTAGGCTGGTGTTTTTCAGGCAACATATTCATTGCGAAGAAAGGCTTTGTGAGAAGCTACGTTATTTCAACCACTAAATTCAATGCCCAGAAGACTGAGAGATACTGGTAAACCTCCTTTGTAAAAAAAGCAGCCCAGTCTGCTAACCAGATACCCAAACAAATGACCTAACGCAGCAAGCACGCTCGGTAAATTTTACGTCCTAAGTTAATCCTGAAAAATGCATTTTCAACAGCTCTCCTTTGATGCAAAGAAAAAGTTTCTTTACTATCAGGCAAAGTGACACTTGACATGCTATCTGACTATCCTGAGGGGGACACTGACATTTTCTAATGATATCCCCAAGGCCTTTCAGCTCAAGATATTTTACATTCTACTGGACATCAGTCACACTCCACAAACAACTGCAGCTTGCATGACAGTAACAGGTTCAAGGATTTCTCCTTAGATCACAGACATATGTTTACAATTCTACCCTTCCCCCTTTAAAAGTGAAAATAATTTCAAGCTTCGTGCGTGCTCTCTCCTTCAGATGCCATTCTTTCCTATGTGAATAGACCTACTGACCATGAAAGACCAATGCAATCCCTCTCTGCCCCCAAAATTCACTCAAGTCTTGTCTCACTGACATTATTTTTTCTCATTTTGGCAACAGGCAGTGCCAGGGACGGTGGAGGACAAGCCGCACTGGAGACTCAGGCATCTAATTTCCAGAACAGGCGGACTCTTGC